TTTTATTATTATTATTATTATTTATATGCAGTCAGAATATGTTGCTGAGACTGTATTGATGATGCCAATGGCTCCAGATACTAAATTGAAATGGTTTAGAGTATACTTAATAGCAAAAAATCAAAAACTACGGCCCCCAGAATATAGGTATGCAAAAATCGTCCTCAAATACTCCACCTTCATACATTTTGATGATGCCATCTCTTCAGCATATGTTCTTTAACTGTTTCTCATCACTACCCCATATTCCTTAATGCTCAGGGTGACAGAGAAAATGCAGAATCTTGGTCGCTATTTTTTTTAAAACCTATATTCTGGGGGCCAGCCATATACCCGTAATGAGTAAAATCTTTAATTTTACTTGTTAAAAAGCTTTCATGCACTCATTTAGTAGGGATCTTAACTAAATACTTAAATAAGATTGAAGGAGTGTCCCTAGATATGATTGAGGGGGGCTGTTTTTATCTGTATCAATACAATGTGCACCTCAATGACTGTAAATCAGACATTTTTGGCCGCCAAATTTTTTTAAAGGCCTAACTCAAAATTCTGTCCCAAAACTTAAGGTCATGAGACAATTCTACGTTGATTCTGAAAATTTCATGTGAAAATATTGAAAACCTATTGAGTTCTATTGTTTTGAGCGAAGTCAGTTTGAGATATGGGCGATTTTGTTCATTTTTTGCGATTATTTGAACACAGAATCCACAGTTAGGTAGATATTGAGCTGATAATCACAGAGAATGTGTAATATATGCTTACCTTCCATATAAAGTTGGTTTCATTCAAAAATATTGATATTTGACCAATTTATATTATGGACCAAAATCGATCAAATTAGGTGCGTATGCCCAAATATGGGCATATGGTTTTTGTTTTTATCCCATAACTCGGCCAATTTTGATAAAACTTGATATGTGGGTTCAAGAGACTAGTAGCTACACGTAGAGCATCCCACAGCATGGTTTTGGGCATGTTCAGGGTTTTTGACCAACCTATATTCTGGGGGTCGTATAGACCTATATTCTGGGGGCCCGTAAAATTGTGATGGCCATAACTTTTTTCCAAATTGTCAGTTTGCAGATGTCTCGATGAAAAGATAGCTTAAAATAATACTCATACCAGTAGTCTTAATGGCATGTGTTGGACAGATTTTTGTCATGACAATTTTTCGCCATATTTTTCGCCATATTTACCCCTCTAGAAAATGACAACATCGTTTAAATCTTTCGCTGTCATGACCAAATATACCAAAATACCTCATGTAGGTCCAAAATTTTTATCCAGAAACATTAGTTACATGTTTTACTCCAACCTAGCAGTAACAGATCCCATTAGTATCGCTTATCTTGGTTAGAACTGTATCCACTAACATGACCTATATTTTGGGGGCCACCTATATTCTGGGGGTCATATACCCGTAAACCATTCGAGAACATTACCTTCAAAACCAAAGTCCTTTTTTAGTTTTTTTAGGAGCAAGTGATGATTTACAGTATCAAAAGCAGCACTGAGGTCCAAAAGGAGGACGATAACCTTGCTTTTCATGTCACTGATACAAAGAAGATCATTGTAGATGGTAAGGGTTGCAGTTTCGCAGCTATGATTTGACCTATAACCACTTTGATGCTCAGCATGAAGATTGTGATAGTCAAGATGTTTGGTCATCTGTTTCTGGACACTCTCTTCAATGAGTTTCGAGAGGAAAGGTAAGTTACTAATCGGTCTATAGTTGTTGAAGCTATTGACATCTCCTTTATCATCTTTGATGGCTGGTCTCTTTAGGACTGACGGAAATTTTCCAGTGGCAAGTGAGTCATTGATAATAAATGACACAATTGGTTTAACTTCATTAAAACACTGCATTAATAGAAGTTTTAGAGGGATGGGGTCCTCTTCACATTCTTTTTTGTTAAGGTCAGAAAGAATATTTTTGAGATCATTGTCGCTTATGGTTTCAAATTGGCTTCAGGCTTCACCTTGAAATGGTTCTTAGTGGTCAGGTAGAATGTCAGCTGCAGTATCGTTGTTAATGGCAGAGTAAATCTTTTCCACTTTATCATTGAAAAACTCTTTCATCTCCTCACATAGAGTTTCAGCCGGTTTGTTATTAGGCTTCAAGTTTTTGTCCCGATCCATCAGCTGATTGACTATTTTGTAGGTATCTTTTTTATTGTCCTCACAGTTTTGCAGACGATTTTCATAGTATAGCTATCTAGTGGTGTTTATAACTGCTTCAGCATGCTTAACAGCTTTTTTATAGTCCAATTTTGAATCTGCAGTTTGTAGTCTCCTGTTGTCACGTTCAGCTTTTCTTCGTTTCCTTCTGGCAGTTTGACATTTTGTGTCCACCCACTTGCTTTGATCAGGATTAATGCTAAAACAGATAAGGGGAGCATGTTTATCAAGAATTCTGCGAAGTTCTTTGTTATAGAGTTCTGTGGCAGAGTTGCAGTCAATAAACTTGTTGGGGTCATTTATGTCAGATAGCAACAGATCCTCCTTGAAAGATTAAGTTGTTAAGATTAAGTTGTTTGGAATATTCGTAACTGTGACTTTCGGGAACATTTTCTGTGCATCATTAACAGTGATTTTGGACGAAGTTACAGCTGATGAGTTTGCAAGGGCTATTTTCCCATCCTTTCTATCTTTTTCTGAAGGGAAGGAGATAACAATTTTGCCTGTCTTTGGTTTAGGGGTCAAGAAGATCATGGGTATTGTACCAAGGGGTTTGCTAGCTAGCTTCCCTGCTTCCTCAAGATTAATATTACTAGCTTCTATATTGAGGACGATAACATGATTATCAGGAGCATTATTATGGATATTGTCAGAGGGAAGTTTTTGCACAGTAGTTTCCTTCTTGGTTAGTTCTATTTAGTTCTCAGTAGCAGTACCAGTGGGGCTATCTATAGCAGATTCAGGAGACAACGCAGCACTGTAGCTCTTTGAAGATGAAAGTGACCTGGTAGGCTTCATTGGACAAGCACTTAAAGAACTAGATGTTTGCAGGGCTAGGGCTGATGCACTACTAGGGATAGATGATGCACTACTAGGGATAGCTGATGCACTACTAGGGATAGATGATGCACTACTAGGGGTGCTGGATCTTCGTGTAAGATTTGGTACTTCTGCAAGCAAAGAATCTATGTGTGATTTAAGTTTGATGGAAATAAGTTCTTCTACACTTGACAGTAAACTTACTTTAAAATTGCTCAAAGTTTCAATCAATGTCTTCTCATCGCCATTGCTGGAAGTTGTATCAGTGGTGGTCCTAGCCCCACTTTCAGTGCTAGCCACACTCTTGGTGCTAGCCACACTCTTGGTGCTATCCATGCTTGTATTGCAAGTTGAGTCCGCAGTTTTAACAGCAGTTTTTGCAAGGAGAGCTTTCTTAAAGTTAGGACATGTCCAGCCAAAGTCACCATATCTTTGGGAATATGTATTACCGTATTTGTGAATTACTGGCAAAATATTCGTCAGGAAAGTCCGTGCTACAATTTACAACAAAAATCGAACTACAGTAAAACTCCAGATTTACCATGCCCCTATTTACCGCAAATCCCGATATACTGCGGCCATCTCCTTTCTCCCCCAAATAGGGTTTTACATGAATAATGTAAATAAACAAAACCCTGACTTACCACTGGTGTTTCCTTCCCCCAAACTCCGGCGGACAACCAGGGTTTTACTGTTTTTGTGTTGGTGGCAGCACCACCCCGAAGTCAGAATATGGCCTTTGTTAGTTGTTACATGTGAATGATCCCTCTGTTCGACGGTTTTTTTAATCTTTTTCAGTGACTTTCAGAAATTCTGAGAAGTTTGAACGTTATTTTACTTTAAAAGTTTGGTGAGGTCTAGGATCTGGATCCTGATGGAGAGGTGAGGCATATTTTTTGACAAAAATTATCATCAGCTTAAACTATTCACCGATCAAACCCCAGAATCACTGTCACACGTGAAACAAGAATTGCGTGAAAAAATATGCCTCACCTACCACCAGAATCTACATTACATATCTCCAATTTAGAAAGTTGCCTTGAAATTACTAATTATAACTGCACACTGGTATATCATTTCTATCGTAAATTGGTACATATTATACATTACCGTCATGTCTTATTATTATCATGTATCCCTGTTCATCCTGTTGTGGTATTTACTAGAACTTGCTTAATCCTTCACACCGTAAATGATCCATTAAATTATATGGACATAATGGATAATATTCCTACAACCACTAACCAGTATTTATATTATAGCAAGGAACCATGCTTTACTGGAGAATAGCCGGTCTGAACTACCTACAGTTCTCTAAAATAGCAGCCCAAGCCGTGAGACGTGGTCTAAAACCAGAGGCTCAAGCGGCTGCTCTCAAGTTGGAGGAAGGCTTGATGAAAAAGACTAAATGGGAAGCAGGAAAGCCAATCAAGGCATAAGATGGTTACCACGCGTTGGAACTGTAATTTATTATGTAAAGTTATATAAGGACTTCTGAAACGGGTGGAGTTTTGCCACATACATTTGTACTTTTTTGTGTCGCACATTAGTATTTATGTTGAGGATATGATATAGTGATGTTCTCTGCTTTATGTCAATCCAATATTAGTATAAGTTAGTATAATTTCAAAACTTTGCTATTTGTAGTGCTACTGAATTTGAGTGCTTTACATACATCTTTCTATAATCTAAATTGTGAATTCTCTGTTTTATACTTACCATTTTCTAGTGCCTACTGGGGGACGCCGTAGACATTGCACATGGAGATCAAATGAATTCTTACGGAACGCGCGAAAAATATTGCGCTTTCTTTGTAAAAATGTTATTTTGTCGGCATCCGTAGAAAATTCGGGAAAATTTTTGCTGCGCGGCTTTATGACGTCATGCACACGGTGACCCTCGTACACAAGATTACGGTACCATGACAATGCTACTGTTTGGAATTGTTTCTCCTGTTGTTCGTTTCAATTATATTAACTAACAAATCAATCTGTATTCTGTAGGTAGTAAGAAATGGCCCTTTGGGGAAAAGGAGATGCCCGATGGATCGTGGAAGAAAGAGAAGATGCCAAGAATGTCAACAACTGGCATTGGTCCGAAGTTGACGCCAGCGTGCCGAGTAAGAAGTTTTTCAAAGAAAAGTTTTTAGAGCTTGGTGAATCGGGGACTGAAGGCAGTGTGCGAATCAGTGAGGTAGGTTCAAATGTGATGACATAATTTGATAAACATCTGCATTTCATATTGCTGAGTCATTATTTACAATTTTGCATGATTTGCATCGTCTGAGAATAACGAAAACTTAATAATGAATATTTGGTGGGAGCCAAAATCAGTCTTGTTTAATTGGTGCATCACATCTTATCTCAATTTTTGTTATTATAAATGTTTAGTCGCTATAAAATGTTTTCAATGCCTAATAACGCTGATTTCTTGTTCCATGGACAAGGCTTCTGAACCTGGTGATTTAAATGGATCAATTCACAATGTATTAATCGTCAGGTAACAAAATGCGATGGTGAGGCTTCTGTCAACAACAGGAAGGGCAAAGTTATCTACTTTTTCGAGTGGAACATTGAGTTGAAGTGGTGTGGTAAGACAGCCACCAGTAATGATAACATTACTGGCAAAATTGAAATCGAAAACATCAGCGAGGAAAACTCCGTGAGTATATTATTTTTCTGTTGAGATCAGGTATTATTTGCTTTCTGAATGTTTGCTGGGCTTATCCTTTTTTTTTTCAAGTATGTACGTCGCATGAATAAGAAGATGCTTGCATGCCAAGCATTGTCCACTTAAAAAGCTTGCATAGTTTTATTGGAGTTCTTTCCGTATGAAACTAAATATTGAGAATGGAAATGATTAGTCATGATGGAGAGCATGATTGAGATCTTGTTTCAGGAAGATGATGTCGACATCACTACGAGACAAACTAAAAATGGGAACGAACATACAAAACTGCATCAAATTGTCAAATCCCAGCGTGAGTTGAATTTAACATTGATTTTTCTCGATATACTAGTATTTTTAAGTCTTAATTAAAGTATAAGTATAATTCTGTTACGAAAAGAAGTACCCAAAATAACAATTCTCCCACCCGTTCATCAAATGGATTTTTCTGAATTTCGTTCGGAACTTTTTGGTTAGTTAAATAAAAGCACGACTGTTTAAAGGTTTTTGATCTGTTGATAGACATAAATAAATGAAGCAAGTTTGATTCTTTATATCTTTTCATACGTTATAGTAAATGCCCCCTTTATTGTCCGGAAATTCTTTTTAACGCCCCACTATTGAAGTGCTAACAAGTTTAAACCCCTTTGTTTGCCCAGCTCTCCTTACAAAGCTTTACACGACCCCTTTGTTTGCTTTTCGCACATAGTCTGTTTCCGTTAATAATGAGCACTTTTGCCACTGTATAGCACCAGTCACCACTCACCATGCCACTGTTATAAACGTGTACAAAACGCCTTGTTACTTGTTGGGGTGCTGTTAGCTCTATCGTTTGCTGACTGTCTTTGCCACGTTCTTGCAGGGATCTTTGGCCATTAGTTCAACCTTCTTGTGAGTGTCTGAGTTCTGTGTTTGGAAGTAAAGAATATCCTCATTTCAACTTTTACTTTTACAACAAAGATCGATTGTTGTTTCTGAAATTTCTATGATAATCGACTCGATGGCCCGTTCGGTAAAGGTTATTGTTGCAGCGGGTCTCATCCTCGCAAACTGTTATCTACTGCTTCAAATCAGAAAAACAGTTAAGGTTGAGACAATAATACCAACCGGGTTTGATGGCCCGGAAGAGGAGCAGTTGCTGGATGAGACGACAGACTCAGACGAAAAATTACAAGTCCTAATCCAAGAAAACCTGCTGCGGTTAAAACGGCCTAAAATTGATACGGATGAAAAGAAAACAGTGGTGCTTATAGTGAGTGATTATAGGTCAGGTTCATCACTGTTAGGTGAAATGTTCAACCAAAACAACGACGTATATTACGTCTTTGAACCACTGAAGGACTGCATAACTACAGATACTAAGGATTTTCTAGAAGAGTTGTTAGAATGTGACCCTCCAAAATGGGGGATTCAACGGAGAAACCGGCAGTCGGGGTGTGAGCAAGACTCTCCCGTCTTCAAGAACAAAATATCTGCGTGTCTCCGGAAGAAGAATCATTCAGCTGAGTGTAGGAAGTATCCCATACTAGCTGCCAAGTTTATACGATTACGGAGTGTTGAGGAAGTACACGAGTACGGTATACTGAACAATGCAAATGTGTTCGTTATCCACAGCTTTAGAGATCCTCGGGGTACCATAAACTCGAGGCTTGCGTATGATAAAGTTTTCTACAATGGTCATGCTGTCCTGAAAAGTGCTATAACTCCAAAAATCGTGGGACATATGGCGGAATCCTTGTGTGGAAGATACTACAACGACTCAGTTTTCGGTGACAGTCTAAAAGAAAAATACCTGCGAATAAACTACGAAGATCTCTGTGAAGATCCTGACAGCAACATCAAGCGAGCATACGATCTGATCGGACATAAACCACCTCAGCGAGTGTTGGACTGGTTCAAGGAGCACACCAGCGCTGCAAGCACCTCCGCGGTGCAGGATAAGATGGGTCTGAGCAGGAACTCTAAACTTACGGCTGTTCGGTGGAAAGAGGAGCTTGGTCAGGAGTATATATGCGCTATTGAGGAGAAGTGTGGCCAGTTGATTGATTATATGAACTTGGATTACAGTTGCGCCGTCAGCTTTTCGAACTAACCGTACGTAAGCAGGCAGGAAAAAAACTTTTTCATTATGTTATTGTCAATTCTATATTGTTGCATTGGTACAGATGCATATTGCATGGCCATGCACATGGTATCAATAGGTATTCAAATACGATGATCTTGTTTATTATTTGGTCATTGATGGAATCATGTTCATTGTTTACTTATTTATCATATATCTAATTTTATACGCCCAAATGACTGTTATTTGTTGTTTTGTATCAAAAAAGTGACATGATTGAAAGCAGTAATTAAAAATTTCAACTTCCGAAGGATAACTATCAATTCCACAATGCCACAGATCCCGTAACTCCCAACTACGAAAAAATTAATCAGAGATTCACTTAATTACGGAATTGGTACTTCCTTTCTCACGTTCTAGCCAAAGTATAGAAAACAGAGCTTGACCAAAAGTATAACACTAAATTGCATCGTGCCGACCATCCACTAACTATGTTAATTCTCAATATTACTTTGCTTTCAGTTGCCCCCAAGTGCAGGGCTATAATCGGAGACTACATCAAGTACCTGCAAGTGACGCACGGTAAACAGGTGGTTCTGCCTACTAAGAAGGGAGAGGGTATCAACAGTCAGCCCAGCAAATCTAAAGCTGCTCCTGTAAGTATGCTTCTAAAAATGTTTACAGAGTACAGCAATAAATGATCATATAATAATGGGGGGGGGGGGGGGGGGGGGGGGGGGGGGGGTGTAACCCAAAAAAACCCAACTCCTACCCAAGAAAAGGTAATACTGGGATTGGGTTTTTTTGGGTTTTTTTGGGTTTTTTTGGGTTTTTTAAACAAAATTTAAACAAAATTCTAGCCATTTCATTAATTGTATTGAATGTGAATTATTTCCCACTGAGTCTTACCTACGTGTTGTTCTCATGTCTTAACTTAATAGATAGTTTACATAGTATATAAGTGTGTTTATATTGATAGTATGTTATCACGATAGCAAACAGGATGTCTCGTTCATCGAGATATAATCCATATGAATGCACAAAGTGGAAATGTGCCAAATGCGGCAAATGTGTTCTCCTGTCATGGAAGGAGGCTATGACGAAGGTCAAGGCAAGTCAAAGCACATGACTTAAATTACTTGACTTAAGGCGGCTTCAGAGTCCGACTCTCGATGATGTGTCTCCAAAGCTTTCTGTCCGCCATAAGCTCCTGAATCTCCCCAGTGTTCTTGAGTCCAGTGTCACTTATTAGGTTATCGACGAAGGTGAGCGGTGGTCTATCCCTCCCTAGGTTCCCAAAGGAGAAGTTGGTGTGCTGCCAGGTCATCATGTCGCTGGATGTGCCCAGCCAACCTCATTCTTCTGGCCTGTATCTTCGAAATAACTCTTGGGAGTGATCCAAAGACCTCCTTGTTGGTGCGATGTCCCCTCCAGTCCACGTTTAGGGCCATCCGAAGCATTCTACTGTAACATCCGTCTATTCTTTTCTTCAAAGATTCTGTTATTGTCCACGTTTTCGTTCCATACAGGAAGATTGATTCAACCGTAGCTTGAACAGACGGATCTTTAAATCTCGGCACAAATTGGACCTCCATATAGCCTACATTTTGTGGTAGGCAGCCCATGCCTTGGCCTTGCGTAACCTAAAATCGTGCTCCGTTGTACTAAAATCCTCAACTTCTTCTAAGGCATGTCCGTCCTTAGAAATTATTGTGTGTGGCTCCTCTCCTACTAAATTAACTGTAAGATCCTTGGTTTTAGACAAAAGAGATTTCCTGCCTAGCCTCCTCATCAGATGAGGCTTCTGTAGGACTGTAGTATGTGATGATAGTGAGCCTGGGCTTTCCATTAAGAGACATGGTGAGGATCCTTGCGCTGTAAGATTTTATAACTTTATAAGACTTATAGCCTCATATGCTGTCCTCGTCAAGATGATTCCTACTCACCCATTAGAAGCGCCAGCTGCGTTTCTCCACGCAGATGAGATCACTGGATGAATCCCTTTGTTCATCTTTTCTATTCTGGTATTCTCAGCAATCAGCATGCACTAGTGCACTACCCGATGTTCGATTCTTGCAGGGCAAGGATGTGCAGCTTGCTTCGAGAAAATAGTTCTTCAAGTTCGATGCGTTCTCTAGCTGTTCTTATGTTAAACGTGCCAACCTGAGCAGCCCTTTTACATGATACAATGCAATTGATGTTCATATTTTTTTGATGTTTTCTTGTTTGACTTTCTGTAGAAATAGGTTGTCGTGTTGTGGAGACCGAGTCATCAGCTTCTGTAATAGCAGCGTAATTACCCCGGCAACCACTTCCACTAGAAAAATAAGGGGCTTTTACCCTTCAGCTGTTGATAAACTTCATCTTGACTTTTCAGTTGGCTCACAATCCTGTGCAGTCCCCTGCTCATTGGCAGTGGATTGTGTTCTTAACTCTTGCGCCACTAAAAGGTTAAGGGCATCCGCTTGAACAATAGCCATATTTAACTCTCACCATAATATCTTGGGTATCTTGAGCATGTAATTGCACGAACATATGCTATACAAGACAAATGTGACACTTCCTTTTTCTACCCAACAGCATCAGTTGTAATCCTTACCCAATCGTCACCTGCTCCAGTGTGGGACTTTCCGATTTTATCCCAAAGCATAAGGAGATTAGAGTGAGAACAGAGCTACACTTTAGCGGAGACTAACCCTTCCCCTGACTACCTCGTTACCCGGTACCCCGGGCATAGGGAGCCGTATCCTGACTACCAGAGTGTGGTCCAGTCTAGCTGGGTCATAGTAGACTAGGTTGAACAGGGTAACAGCCAACACCTCTTTAGCTACTGTGCAATCCACTGTAAAGATTTACGAGTCTCAAAGCCTCTTGTAGACCAAGAGTTAAGGAGTCAATAGATCAAATTATTGAACTTCCAGGGCTCAATGTCTCCCGTCGACCGTCCTGCCTTTAGCCTGGACCCCCTGTCCAGTATCCAGTCTTCACCACGCGGAGGTAGTGGCTTTCATCATGCTGTCCGGTGAGTGTCTGGAAGAGGGCGCCAGCAGGATACCCCTTTTCAAAGTTCGGGAGCCTCACATCAGACCAGGGCTTCCACCCAGCTTCTATCCAGCGGTGACGCCTTGGGCCACCTAAGCTTCACACAACCATTGAAAGACCACCTGCCTACGTCTGTAAAAATTTTGATGATGCGATTATTACAGTCGAGGGTCTGATGCTCATGCTGTACATTCTCAGTGTAACAGCTGACAACAGTTATCAACACTTTATGCCCTGGCTGTTTACATCCGATGCCTGTGAGCAAACTTTATGCTTTCCTGCGCATATGCCTCCATGCAGGCATTAGAACTAATCTGTGTTCTAAGGATATGTTGGTTGGCATGGGCAAATCAAACCGTTCCCTCGAGCTTGATGCACTCGGCAAAAGTTTGATCCCTGTAACAGTTGCCCACTCTCGCAACAAGCTTGTTATACCGCATCCGAAAGCAGAGAAACTATTTTGAGGTAAAGATACTTCAATCCCAAGATTTTTCCAAGCTATGAAGAAGGGAGTCTCAAGGGGTAGAGAACTCATTCAAGAACACTGTAACTTTGAAGGAGAGGCTTTCCAACCATCTTCTGACGGAGCAGATAGTGACGAAGCGGAAACAGATGATGACGAAGAGGAAGTGGAGGATATTGACTCATCAGAGGAATTATCGAAAATAGTAACTCTGTATGGTGATGCTCTGCATCATGATACGGCTGTTGAGGTTTGCCTCAATGGAGGGCGAGATCGAATGCCATCCCAGTCAAGATTTTAGCGACTCCAGGGCCATAAACAAGCGAAGATATCACTTAATATCACATGTGATCATGCAGCTGATGGTAACTGCAAGATTCTTTCAGTTGGAGATAGAGCATGGTTTCTCGTTAAGCGGATGATCAAGAAAACGGAAACAGAGATCGTGAAGGTGAGAAGAAAGGCTTTATTCCTCTCGTACCGGTTGCGGTCAGGGTTGGGGTCATTAGTGAGTTGCGTCCCTACTAACTCAATTTGCCATGGCCATCGAAGTGAGCATTACATATGGCTGATATCATATCTGGATGGCCAACTTCTTCTGAGCACACCAGTGAATAAAATACTGCTTTTGGGTGATATTTAAGCGATTATATCTATTGTGATGTTGTAGTGATGAACCACAACAGTGATGTTGTACTGATAATTGTTTTGCTAGGTGCCTACATGATTTTATTTCCTTCAAATAAAAAATTTGTAAAAAATCCAAAAAAACCCAACTCCTACCCTGAAAAAGGTAATACTGGGATTGGGTTTTTTTGGGTTTTTTTGGGTTACACCCCCCCCCCCCCCCAATTATAGAACCGTTCGAAAATGTTGCTGTATCAGCTGTAAAATATGATGGGCACCCAAACATGGTAAACACAATATGGTTAAGAATCAGTCACAATTTAGCCGCTTGTTTGGAAAAAGTGTTAGAGAGAGTTCTCTCCTAATGACCTTTTAAATCTACTTGGTAGATCTTGCAACAACAACAACAACAACAGCCTTCCCCGCCTCTCACTGAGCAAAAGTTGCTTTTATACTTGTTGTATTGTCAGAACATTTCCTTGCGTTTTTTAACTTTCAACTATCCGTATATCCACTGCCAGCTAGCACGAAACTAATCTGATTGTCTAAAAAATAATCAGTAATTTGAATAAGTATTTATTAAAGCGGTCATTTGAAATTTATATTGAGCAACGTTATTACGTTCATGGTTAACTTAAAGGTTGCACCTGAGATGTGTTAAAAGGCAGACACTGATGTAGGTCGTAGGATAACAACAAAATATTTAGAGAGAGCTCTCTCTTGATAACCTTTTCAATTTAATACTTTCAACACATACTATAATATCCGCGGAGGGACCAGAGAAAGGCAACGATAATTAGCCTTTCCCCTCCACAATTACCAAGCAAAAGTTTCTTATATAAATCCTGTCACTTCGAAATATTTCCTTTCGTTTTGCAAATAGTTTCATATAAATTAAGTTCACTGTCAATATTCAATATTTATGTCATTTAACGAATTAGTAAATGTGCTGAACCTGACAGTCGACCTTTACCTAGAAATTCGATCTAATGTACATTATACTTTTATACTTAAGCTAAGTTATAATTAAAATTCCCGATTGCTTGTCCTACGGAAACATCAGAAATTTTGAACACTTAACATAAGTTATGTTACATAACAACAATCAACAATGTGACTCATAAATAACGTTACTAGCCGGCTATGACACATCCCACAGTACAGAAAATGACATACACCGTGTAAATTTATGAGCACGATATTTTGCACTATTATTCTTTCAAGATGACCGTTGAAGTTTCGGAGAAAGGCCACGGCTGGCAACCTTTTCCCCCAACATTTACTAAGCAAAAGTTTCTTTTATAAATCCTGAAATTTCGAAATATTTCCTTTCGTTTTGCAAATAGTTTCATATAATTTAAGTTCACTGTCAAAATTCAATATTTATGGCATTTAACGAATTAGTAAATGTGCTGAACCTGACAGTCGACCTTTACCTAGAAATTCGATCTAATGTCCAATATACTTAAGCTTAGTTAATGATAATTATAATTCAAAAAAGTTTTACAGATTGCTCGTCGTACAGAGTAAACACTAAACATCACAACAATCAATAATGCAACTCATAAATTTAGTGTTGAGTGTTCCTATCCGGTTATTACAAATCGCAAAGCAATTAAGACATTACATTCATCATGTTTCAGCCGATGAGCAGCATCAAGCAGAAGATGTCAGAAACAGTGATCTCCTCAAAACCAACAGAATCTGTTGAAAACAAGAGAACTGATATCAATCTTAATGATGGTTTCTTGTGTCGTGTGGATGATTTATTTCATTGCTTCGTTAACCCAGGTAGGTTAACCCAGATAAGGTGCATTATTCATTTCAGTTTTCGTTCAATATTTAAACCATAACGTGAGATGTTGCTTAACTCTACTTTTTTGCTTGTAGGTTACGATCAGAAAAATCAACACAATGTTTAATTAAATTTTTGACCAGTTAACAAAATTTTCATCATACGTTAATGTGAATAATTACTAATAAATGACTTTGTCATTTTGCAGATAAAATGAAGGCGTACTTCAATGGAGCTGCAGATGTAGACCCCAGAGAAGGCGGCAAGTTTTCTATGCTTTGTGGCATGATATCGGGTACATATCTCGAAATTAAGCCAAACGAATCGGTAAGCAACAACTTGTTACTGTGCTTTAGAGGGCGTGCGTTTTTAAATAAATGGTATTTTGTTGTACGAAGTAAATTTAAAGCAAAATTCCTTTAGCAGAGTAGATGTTAGAGTTAAGTTAAGTATCTGATGATAATATATGAATTAAAAATAAAAATCAATGTTTTTATCTCAGTCAATAAAGAATACTAACTTTGAAATAATTTGTCTCTAATAGCTAAATAATAACTATATATTAAAGGGATCATGAAGTGTCCCCGACTTAATCGTCAAAACATTTCACATATACTATCACATAGAAACACTAATATAACAATAGGGCTCGGAATTCCCAGATTCGTAACTTAATTATGTCGCGTGAAATCGATACAGGAAGATCGCCCTAAATTGTTGGATAGTGGCTAACTGTCAGACACCGCAATAGAAACAGTGTTAAAATGCACATTTTTATTCATGTGCTGTGGCGCCAATTTAATTGATAAAATCTTCAAATTAACGACACTTGATAGATTTGACTTTTATCTTTCGAAAATTGTGGTTGTATAATGTGCATAATATACACAAGCATCAAATAATTGTCTTATAAGTTTACGTACTGCTGTGTAATGTTGTAGGAAGAAAAACATTCAATTACCAAACGCTAAATAACAATACACGTTAGAAAGAACCTATTACTTAAAATAACCTTAAATTATAAATAGTTTTTTCTTGATACAAACATTTACTTGTTAAGTTCATGGCAAAATATGTCCATCATCAGTTCCAATACTGATAAAACCCGTATACCTTGATCCATCTGTGTTCGGAAACTTTTCCCGGATCGCCGACACAACACATGATGGAAGTACGTATCGAACCTTTCTATCCAATTGCAAAGCTTGAGCTACTATACTATGAAAACACGTGCCGCAGTCGACATCAAACGCGAAAATTTGTAACAGCTCTGACTTAGTTATTAATTCTTTAATTGGAAGATAAGACTTTTATCTACGGGGTACAGACTACGGATACATATGTTAGGTTCGTGTTTACACATTACACGTTATTCAAGAAAGCACACATTCGCAAGCTTTAAAATACAAAGACTGTACAGAACGAAAGTAAACAAATTGAACACTGATCGTGCTACATTCAAAGTCCATAAAGTGAGCTGTCTTTAATTGCTTGTAGGAACTAGATTAATCGATGTACACCAAATTTAGGAAGATATGTGAAATATAATGGTTTAAACCTGATGGTAATCTTGTCCGTTCAACAAAAAAACCAACAGAAAACTTGTTATGGACAATTAAAATCAGGCGTTTTTACACATGTCGTATATGCTCTCCCGTCACCTAGCCACTACTTGGAAAAATGTAATTGATATACCCCATATTATCTCAGCTTGTGAAGCAATTACGACGGAGCTATTTTGGGATTGTGGCAGAATTACTAAGCCTAGCTCACTACCCAAGTTTCGAGAATTTTTGAAGAATTCGCAAATTTACACTTCATGATCTCTTTAAATACGTTCAAAGCTGTTACCTGCTGTAAATTAAAATTTAACAGTAGTTAAGTAGTACTATAGATGAAGCAGTCTCGGTTGGACGTCGATCCCATAGATTCGAATATTCTCGGCTTAAAATTCTTTCCCATGAATTTGGCTAGTCTTTATCTCCGTTAATTTGGCTAGTCCCAGTTTCTACATCAATTTCAAGAGTTGAAATTCCTCCCCGCGTCACAGTAAGTCGCTCACTTAGCTGGTTGTAATGTACCTTCTTAAAGCCTCTATATTGCAGAGCCGTGCTGAGTGTAAGAATTTCCATGTCGCCAAATTGTTTTGTTCTCGGACGGTGTTTTGTTTTCGAATCTATTATATTTCTTTGGATATCCTCTTTGAAGATATTAAAGTTGTGGTCTTCCCAAATTGCTTGTCTAATGATTTCATCTGCCGACTTGGAACATGAAACATCGACCGTCTCATCAACTTTACCCATTCTGATCAGGGCCTCTAACGTTTTCTCGTCAGATAAAGATTTAACATGTTGAGGGTCAGCCCAGTACACCAGAATGACAAGGAAGGTCAAATGAACAGTCTCCATCAATATTCCTATAATGGCAAAATGAAACGGAGATATTCCGATATCTACACAAGTAAAATTACCATCTCCTCTCATATAGATCATAATAGTGAATATCACTGTTACGGTGGATTGAAGGAGTGAAGGTAATATCTTATAGGTAAATGTGATAATCCTCAGATCCGGAAGGTGATTTAAGAAAGTCATCATGAAAAGCCTCTGTCGGAGAACGGCGTGAACCGGAAATCTTACAAATGACTCTATCAGTAGGAAGCAAACAAATATGATGATGTTTTTTATTCGGATGCGCAAAGATTCAATATTTCTCAATGATAGTTTCACACTATGTCCTACTGCAAACAGATGCACTAAAAGTCTTAATAACCCCAAACACCCGCATATGTAGACTAACACATACAGGAACAGCAGCCAGGCAACTTTAGTCTGAAAAAAGCAGCAGCTAGATTCAGACTTCGTCACGATCACATTCAGCGCAGTTGAAAGAGAGCATGACCCTGCCTTGACTTCTTGAGAAAAGTCGTGGTTCACTAGCATGATGATGAAAACGACGGTGAATACTTTGCTAGCAATAGCAGTTGAGTGGACTACAAAGAGAATTATTTTTTGTGGATAAAATGCCTTCCAACCTTTACCGTATGTATAAAAGTTGAAGAGGCAATGAAAGAGCTCATGCTTTAGAAAATCCGCTCTCACGCATGTTCTGGGCAATGAAAGAATTGTCAAAATAAGAGACACTAGCTTCCAGTAATGCCAGAAACCTCCCCCATTTGACAGACCGAGTTTTGCAGAGGTTGAGAGGTAATCGGGAGCAATGTTGATGAGTTGTAAGATAAGCTGGGACTGATTTTCCAACATTTTTTCTCGACTTATTGCTTTTTGTAACAGAATCATTTTATGCTTGATATTTTTACACTTGCTGGTCCTGCAACTAGTTGAGTCATATGTTTGACAGTTCCGGCGGTCAAATGTCCCGGCTTGATGATTCCTAAGGAAATGTTTCCAAATAAAATGTTGGGTTGAAGAGAAAGTTAAAAGTGTTACAATATTTTTCCATGACCACTTTCTTGTATATCTGTGTCTCCCTCTCGACTCCTGTGGCTGTAATGAACGGATTTGTTTTGGCACACTCCACCCTACAAGTAACATCACGATCAATGACACCGACCCCAGCACTTTATTACCATCCTGAAACATACCAACCATCGTCACTAAATCAGTCACAGTATCCGCATAGTTAAACAGGCAGAGAAGGATAAGTCGTATCTTTGTGGAGGGTGGCAGGAGTTTACAGTCGTGGGCTGACTTTTCTTTCACCAGGGGAGTTTTGTTGGCATCATTTGCTTTCTCCCAATATCTGTTTCTGTTTCGATCCTGAAAACAAAAACACTTTTTTGAGGAATTTAAAACAAAGCTGTATTTGGTTTAAAACAGGGTTATGTAAAAGCTGAGTAATGTGTTAAGTAGGGATTTATAAAATCTTGTACAAGAAAAGAGCGAGAATACTTACGTCTTGGTTCCCTGAGATGTTGTCCGAGCACATTGCATAATTCTCTTAACTCTTCTCCGATGTATTTTAGTCTTCTTAATCTTTGAGGTGTTGTGGTTAGATGATTTTAACACTAATTAAATAGGTCTTTTCAGATTTAAGTCATTTTATCCATAAGATCACTTTCTCGACAATTGACACCTATAGTTTAGAGCCTATTTTAAAAATGTAATTAAAAATAATAGTTGGGTTTCAGTAGCACATAATTTCAACGTCAATTGATTTTTAGCAGTTTTATTTCAACATATGGGCGATTCCACGAAAAAGTAAGCCAGTGTCGAAAAAAATAAATCGGACAAAGAAGGCAATATATTATGACAGATATTTGTCTACACTCTACATTTCAAGGGATCGAATCATTGCATATAATGTTAACTGTAGTAGTTGTACAGCAATGCTAAGGTAAGGGTCCGCAGTAGTCCCATTACCTTAGTATTGCTGTACAACTAGTACAGAAGTAATCCGATAACACTCGACCTTTGCCTGATCCAGAGGATGTCACCATTTTACCTTCACACAGACATCGAACGCTGTAAGAAGATGACGATCAGACCTCGGTCCTCGTTATATAATGTTAACGTTTAAAATGATGACTGGGTGTTATAAAATTTAAAAAAACAGATCATATGACAGAGCAGAGTATACCTAATCCACAGTGGGGCTCCATGTTGACATTTAGCCTAAAAACGAGTTTTCCTAATGTTTTAGATTGTTGTAAATTCTGATAGAGAATAAATAACCGGATTCAATGCTTTTTAAATTAGCTCAATATCTCGGTTGGGTCAAAATTTACAACCATTTGAAAAGCGCGCCTGAAAATAACCTGCCTGCACATGCCCAGAAACTCAATTTCACTGCCATTTTTGAGTCAGGCTGAGGTTCCTTTTGTTTTCAATGTTTTTCAACTTTTGATTGATTGAACATGGATATAAGCATTCTTAGTACTGTTTAAGAAGAAAAAACCATGATTTCGGTCAATTTTGGATTTTTGGTAGCTAAAATTAGAATATTTTTCAAAAATAGGCCTTAAAATTTCATTCGCTGACCACAAATGGGTGGTAAAGTTATAAATGGCCCCATATGGCCCGGGTTTCATTATGTTTTCTACGTTTTCCCATAATTTTTCTAGCAGAATCCAGAAGATTTGGCTTCGGAACGCTTCGGAAAAAAAATTATGACCCATTTTTGGTACGAGCCTGAGGTGAAAAATCGCGTCAAAATAGCGCGAAAAATGAAAACTGATAGATTAAAAACTGATTTTTTCATTTATTTCATAGCTTTTTGGTGCACACTTTGATATTTTATGCTAATACCAGCAAAGTTCAATTGGAATAAGCAATATTTGGATGGAAAAATAGTGCATATGAGCCAAAAATAGCCAAAATCTGGCAATTTGAGCTCGGAAAATCCAGGGGCAACTCTGATTTCATAGGATTTTTCTTATGTTTTTGTCATATTGCATAGTTTTTATGGTTCTCCTTTCTGAAATACCCTTAAACAATCACATCAGCATGATTGATGACCATTTCCATACGAAAAAGCAGAAAAATGGGACAGAAACCGCTTAAAATTCGATGAAATCTTAAAACTGCTAGTCAAAAAAGATGCTTTTTGTGTGACAGAAAGTGCCAAATTTTCGAAAAAATTGATTTTTTGCCCAAAAAAGTAGTGAAAGTTGTCCAATTTCACTGAAATAAATCATAATTGACGATTTAATCCAAATTGACACCACCAAGATGTGGCCAGAGGCATAAAAGGGCAAAAAAACCAAATGTCATCATGCCCTTTACGCGAGCCCCACTGTGTAATCTCCCCCCAGTTATTATAAACAACGTGAATATTTTGCGATAAGGCGAGGCAAAGTTCTAGGGTGTGATTCTCGATGTAAAATAATCTTGGACATATCACATAAAAGCTCATTAGTGTAAGATGGCACGATATGTTGGCATAATGTACAAAATTGAATCATACATTCCTTTAGAAGCGAGAATACAAATCTACCACAATTTTATTCAGTCACACCTAAACTATTGTTCCTTGGTCTGGGACTTCACGTCTAGGACCAAAACTGAGTGCTTGTTCCGTCAACAAAAGAAAGAAATGAGAGCCATAATGCCAGGATTTGTGAATTATTTTTATAAAGATGGAAAACGGCACTAAATCTTTTTGAACTGCCATTTGATGTTAACAATTGCAATACACGGTATCATATTATCTAATTCACTAATCTTCACGAATAGAACTTTCCAATCAGCGGTCTACGGAGATAAAATAGAAATTCGTAACAGTTAGGAGGAGAAAAAATTTTCAATCTGTAGAAACATTTTTTAGAAAATTGTTAGTAAGGGGTCGTTCACATATTACGTTATCTGCCGAGGGGGGGGGGGGGGGTTTCCAAATGCTTACGGTTGATTACGGGGGGGGGGGGGGGGGGGCGGTTGGTCGTTGATTATGTAATAACAATTTTCTTTTTTATCCTCTAGAATAATAACAATTTGACAATATTTTAATTCAAATTCCACTCAATATCATTCTGAAGAGTGACAAAAAATTTAGAAATTATTGATCGGATATCCGACTATAGTAAGTAGTTTAGAAGGTGCTTGGCCGGATATCATAACAATGATTTCGGCTCATCATGATCAAGGTAGTATGAAACGTAGCTCAACGTAAAGAAAAATGATTTCCAGTCAAGGGGGGGGGGGGGGGGGGGGGGTTGTGTCAGGCCATGATAACGTAATATTGCTGTCAGGAGGAGGCGGGGGGGGGGTGGGTCTTGATTACGGTTGATTACGGAGGGGGGAGGGTGTAAAAATTGCTAAAATATTGATTACGTAATATTATGTGAACGACCCCTAAAGGTACACTTGAAATTACAGTACATGATGATGTAAATTAATCCCAAACCAATCTGAAATTGATGCCCAATCGTTAGGTTTTCTATTGATTACCAAATGTTCCCCCAGATACAATGGCACTGGAGGTTCAACGACTGGCCAGCTAACACTTACAGCACTGTTACCCTGAAATTTAAAGATACAGGAACCAGCACCGAGCTTACTTTGAACCAGGTATGTGAAACTTAATTTTGTGTTGGAGATGGCTAATGGCTCTGAAAGTGAAACATGTCAAATTAGTTAGTACCCTTGACAGTTATATTGGCATTGATTATTATGTAATATATAACCGATTGTTACTAACTATGTAGTAACCCATATAGTTACCAATGGGTACTAACTATCAGGGAGGTCCACCATGTTGATTGTTGATACCTTCATTTGTTACAGGTTGGTGTACCGCAGTACTCTGTTGAACAAATCAAATCTGGTTGGTACAAATACTACTTCAACGCCATCAAACGAACATTCGGATACGGCTCCGGTACTTTGTAACGCCAACTCTCAGATATGAGTTTCCTGAAGATGTTCGCTGTTTGACAACCTTTGGTTTGATAATAGATTGATGAGGTAGTGCATGGGATTTTAAGTATCGCTGGATTTTAAAATCGGTGGGACTTTGTTTAGGTTGAACTTTTATTCACTACTTTTTGACGTCTTTGGTTAGTGTCGTAAGCTGCTTTGAAAGGTCCTGTTCATATTAAAATTGATACAATTCGTATCATTTTATCATCTATGATGATAATATATTTTGATATTATGATCGTTTCTACGTTTTTGAGTTCCAAGACGCCAACCTCTCAGTTAAAATCACTGACCATACCTAATGATTTATTTTTAGGAAATCTTTGGATAAGGTTAATCACATGATATGATGCTTCTTATATATGATCATAACATAATATATAATATGCTTCTTATATTTATCTAATTGATTTCTGAGGAGTTATTCTGTTCTCATAATTACCAAAGTTTGAAGAGTAACCGAGCGAGATCAATGTCGTCTGGGAGACGGCAACTGATCTGACAACTTATATTGTCAAGACGATTTTATTGTTGTCACACCGTTCCATCCGATCTTGAAAGCTCGAAAAAGCAAAGTATTTGTAACCTGTTTTCTGTAAATATATTGTAAAACCATTCCAGAAAAATTGAGTTTTAATCAACAGAAATTTTCTTCTGTGATTGGAAATTACAATTGTCAAAAAATAAATAAAATTACTTATCTAATATTTACACTGCATGTGACACCAACAATAATGTATAACCAAATATATTTTATAGCCATGCCTGCCCCTGAAGAGCTGGTGATTGCCCAACCCCCAGAACCCTTGGCCACCTCAAAAAAGAGGAAGCGACCAAAATCAGCTGAGAAGAAGGGGAAAAAGAAGAAGGGATTGGATGGAAGTAAGCCGGCTAAGAGGATGACATGGACGAACAAACAGCGAGCACTGGTATTTGCAGCCCGGGGTATCACATTCCATGCCCGACATCTGATGAACGACCTCAGGATTCTCATGCCTCATTCTAAGACTGGTTGGTTTATTTACATTTTCTGGATACTCTTTTAAGCGGTGATCGGTGTTTCTCTTTGTAATTATCCTTGACTGAGTCTGCTGTAAATTTGTATAGATCCTTTTTTGCCATATTAAAAAAACAATTCTCCTTACAATTGCAGAAAACTAACTGTTAATTTTCACCTCAGACTCAAAGCTGGAGAGGAAAGAGGGACTTTACGCTATCAACGAGATTTGCGAAATGAAGAACTGCAACATGTCCATGTTTTTTGAGATGAGGAAGAAACTTGATCTCTTTATGTGGCTGTCTATGGTCCCGAACGGTCCTTCTGCCAGGTCAGTTCCGGTTAAATATCAATAATCTAGTATGTAGATTATGATCAATAGCTATGCTGTTTTCATGATGGCTTTTACAATAATTATGTTGATTAAGTGTAACAAAATCAATGCCATACATTGTAACTGCTGAGGACTTACTGGATACACGTCACGGCCATGACTTTTTCGCCTGACTATTTCGTCAGCACTTTAAATTTATGAAAATCAAATTTTGATCTGGATTTTTCCAGGTTTTTAGTACAGAACGTGCATACGATGGACGAGATGAGATTGACGGGAAATCATTTGAAGAGCAGCCGACCCTTGGTTACATTTAACAAAGCTTTTGACGAACAACCTCACCTTTCGTTGATAAAGGAACTGCTGAAGCAGGTGTGTTTTTATGATACCAGAAAATGAATCAAACCCGATTTACACCATAGCAAAAACAACAACTGTGGAAAAAAGTTTTTTTACAATGTGGAAATTTTACAAATAACAAAATATAATTTTCAGATGTTCGCTACCCCTAACATGCACCCGAAATCAAAACCGTTCTATGACCACGTACTTGGCTTCACCTATCTTGACGGCAGAATATGGTTCAGAAACTTCCAGGTAAACGTCAAGAACTACCCGGTAGTTCAACTACCGCTGCTTTTTTTGGAAATCTGTTTTCGACTTATTTTGTTTAAAATAATAATATTTTGCACGGTGTGTTCATACATTTTCATATGACGACCTTGCTCAAAGAACAAATAAAACTGTACTAGTAACTAAATAATTGCAATTGGGGACGAAATGAGAGTCTCCACTCACTGTACAACAAAATACATCATGTATTGTCGACAGATTTATTTTAACAATTGTGTGTTGCAGCTCTAGCTATGTAAAAAGTAATCTCACCTTTTCGTCTATGACAAATGCATGTAGCCGAAACGTCCACAATACACGATGTATTTTTTTTACAATGAGTGGAGACTCTCATTTCCTCCCCAATAATCTAATATGATCGATCCGCTCAAGAGAGCGAAAAAATATCCTTAAAACCGTCTACTGTTTGACCATTAAATTAAGGTTTGATAATGGTGTTAATTAACACTTAATTAACTAATTAACATCCGTCCTCAGATAACGGATCAAGCAGAAGGCAGTCTGGTCGAAGTTGGACCTCGGTTTTGTCTGTGGCTTATCAAGATCTTCAGCGGTAGCTTCAGCGGGAACGTTATTTACGACAACCCCAACTACAAATCACCCAATCAGTATAGGACTGAACTTAAAATTGCTGCTTCACACAGGTACATTTTTATCTTTGGAATACTTAATAAGTACTTTCAATTTTGAAAAGTAATCTGAATGTTAGTCAAGCAAACATGGTCTCTAATAGGGTTAATATCAAATCAGCACTTCACAGACACATCGTCATTTTAACTGTCACTATCAAAGCTCATACAAACCAAAATAATACAAAAAAAATGCTGGTAGGGAAAAAATCGTAAACAAAACGTTTAAAAAAGTCAATGATAGATAAATTAGTGTATGTTTTTTTCAAAAAATCTTTATCGGTTTAAAAACAGCGACATTTAAAACAAGAACGAAATTGAAGAATTCTCCAAAAACAAATCGAAAGCTTTCCTTTAAAACAAATATCAAACTTTTCTTTAAAACACCGAATGTTCATCAATCCCCTAGCCGCGACGTACAGTACATAGATTCTCATTTCTCAAGTAAACCACTTCACTTGATCTCAAAACAGACCAATTCAAGTGTCTTCACAGAAGTCTTCTTCGCTCCCCCTCTTCGGCAGACCTCTCACCCTCTGTTCCAGCCCAACACCTCACCAGAGGTGCAGATATCATCTTCATTCTGGACTTGAGGAATTCTCTGAAACTATAGAGCGTCAGACTGTAGATATAGAAGTTTCCAACTAAATCCAGAGCAGCAATTTGCCATGCAGCCCTTCCAAGGGGAATATATCCGTCAAAAGACGGGACAATGTAAAAGATCTCCAAAGGAAGGGTAGCTGCGGTATGGACAGCTACCGTCAGCAGCACAGTCAGGACTCCCTGCCACTGTAAACCTCCAGGTCTTCTATCAGCAATCCTCCTAACCATCACAATCAGCATCACGCTACTTGCCATTGTAACTACAGTGGAAATCAGCACTGGTACTATATATACGGTATTGAATACCGTAGTTCCGGGAATCCCGCAATCGTAGTGGAGGTAGTTGAAGTAAGCACCACCTTGACCTAAATTCCCTGTTGAGATGGTTACAATGATTAATACTAAGCTGTATAGCCATATACCACAAGCTGCCGACTGAGCAGTTTTACTGGAAACACTTATAGCTCTGAGAGGAAACTTGACGATGAGCGTCTTGGACACAGCTAGGACACTTATGAGCAGGAATCCTACTGATGAAAAGTACACGTTTGCAAAATGGCTCAGATTGCAGAGGATATCACCAAGGATCCAACCATTTGCAGCCAAGGAGACTGCAACAGGCACGATGGTAAAGACTACCAGCAACAAATCTACCACAGCAAGGTGTTGGATAAAGGTAACCATTACTTTGTGGAGCTTGATTGCATTATATCTAAGCGAGCCGATCAAAATAAGAGTGTCCCCGATCACGGACGAAGTGAATATGAAGGAATTGTAGCCGATCAGAAGTCCTCTCTCTGTTTTGCTGTGAATCCCGTACAGTGTGTAGTTGTCGTACTTCATGCTGGGGCAGAAAACTGAAAAGCTTCTGTAAGAGGCGAGGAAGCTGCAGTGGTCCAAGAAAAGGAAAAAAGGAATTATATTACCGACATGTGACTACATTTTACAAATCATGGTCGAATTCTCATACTGAGTCGGGGGGCGGACTGGGTTTTGTGGTAATATAAAACCGGCAAAATCTTTTTAAAACTATTACAATTTATAATATAACATTTATATAATATAATGTATAAGGGGTCGTTCCCATATTACGTAATCAGCTGAGGGGGAGGAGGGTTTCCAAATGGTTACGCTAGTGTAATTTTGACACAATAGCTATGCGTAAAACTGAGTACGAAGAGGGGGGGCCGGGGGGGGGGGGGGGTAAAATTGTTTAACAAGTGATTACGTAATACTAATATGTGAACGACCCCAACACTATCGTCATCCTCTGGGTACTCCCCTAGCTGTATGATGTAAATCCTTACTTTTTACCGATTCTTAGTGATACCTTTCAAAAGGTGAACACAGGTATAATTTTCTTATTTTTTTAAGTTCAGCTAAACGGTTACTGTCCATGACCTGAAATTCTCCTCACTTCCTCCTGCCTTACGGTCACACTCCTTCAAATTCATGTCATACCAAATGCAGAATCTAGGTCTTCTGATAATTTCATACCATAGTTTACCAGAAAATTCATCATCACAACAGAGAAACTCAAGATAAAAGTAAAACATTTCGAACACCTTGTTTGAACACCGATCACAGCGTTTGTCGCCGGTTTCAAAGATAAGGAATTATTGATCAATAAAAACTTAACTAACATCTAGAAAGTTCTTCACTCGGGATGACAAATCTTTGTCTCAGGTACAAAGCCAAAGCAGAGAAGAATGCTAAGAAGGCTGCCGTGGAGATCATTCCCAAGGAAGATGAATTGGACGAGATTTTCCACACAATTACTAAAGACGAATTAAAACAAGCTGGATAGACGGAAACTTTTAATCTTAAATTTGTTTTAGTCGTTTTGGGGAATTTTAAATCTGAGCATTATAATCTGATCTATTATTTCTGGACGTTTTCAGTCTTTTTATTTTTTACATATTTCCGATTATTAACGGGCTGAGTGAGAGTGAGAATACAAAAACTGACCTGAAATGTAAAATCATTTTGTGAATCCGAAGAGAAGTTTCCTTCTCATGTACTGTTATTTGCGGGCTTAAAAATTAAGATATTTAGTGGCTGTTGGTCTAGAATCAAGTGTTACTGTTCGGCTATTTTAATCCAGCCTTTAGCCTTACTGTTGACAATTTTAGATAATTTATTCAATTTTACAAACTTATCCCTGACTTTTGACTGCTTCATCTTTAATTAATAAGATATTTTAGAGCATGTAATTTCGACCTGGATGAGATCCAATGGAACGCCCTGGAACTTTAAATTTATGTATTAGTGTCTGATGACCTCAGTCTGCAGGGCTATCTAAAGAGCTATGCATGTGAACTGAGATACTACTAGGAATTTAAGGCATTTAGGTAATGATCTAGCACAAGCATCCTATTGCTCGAAATGCTTAAATGTAACTTGGTCGATCTCATCAGCATTTCGCTGTCTCTGCCGTGAGATTTTAGATGTTTTGTGTCCAGAAAAGTGAGTCTTGAAATCATTTGCAAATTGCTTCTGTGGTTCGAATCACTATTAACTGTTAAACTGTAAATTAAAAACGGTAGAACCTGCGACTGAACTCTTGGTAGTTTATTAGCCCACTTTTACTTTCGTGTTGTTGGCGTTGCAACATCGCTTCAAAAGTACAGTAAAGGCAGGTCATTACTCAATGTTGAGGCCGATTACCGCAATCCTTAAAATCACACGGTGAGCATGTAATTATAATCAGCGTTTTGATACCCTGATGATAATTAATATTGGTTAATGATTGGTCTAGAAAATGAAAGAACTGTCGCAATAGATTGTAAGAAATGCCCTAACTTCTTCCACGCCCACACCCCAGGCCCCCATGTCTACTGTTTGACGTAACAGAGGAACACATGACTTGGAATTAATGATATTTTAAACAGTTGTAAGTCGTTGAGACGTCCCACACGAATAATATTACTAAAATATATAATATATATCACGATGTTACCTTTGTTTGTTTGGTTTTGTGGGCTGAGATGTTGGTGCTGATTGTTTCTGTCAGAAATGTTGATTGATTCTGTTCTGTTGGATGCAGCTGGCCGAGTGGTGAATAAAGCAGTCTTAGGTTTGCTTTATTTAAGTTCGAACTCGTAACATTAAGTTGAAGGCTATGGAGGTCGATGAGTATTCCGATTCGCCATTTAGTTTTACCTTTTGCCACCAAGATTCAAGGATCTCAATATTTGTTTCTATCAACGAAATCTTTAAATACAAGCCTTAGCCGAAAATGGCAATCATGGAAAATCTATAGCCTTCCCCCATGGTCATAGCATCCGTACTACTATGCTGTCTCTTTAATTAATAAAGTAAATTGTCGTGAAAATAGATGACAGATAAGCTGTTTTAGCTTGACGATAAATTAATGATATAAATAAAATTCAACCTGAAATCTCAAAAATGTATTGCTATCACATTCAATTATAGAGGATATGACATTGGTTTGAAAATAAAGACTGTCTAACAACTGACCCAGTGAGTCGGAGCCCCTGCTCATTGTGCAACTTCGCCTTGGTTCGGAGGTATGTTATTTAAATAGTTGTATTCGGAAATTTAACGTTAATGCTATTCGAATGTGCAGTAATTTTGTTCCCCGGAAATTAAATTTTAGTAAGTATTTATGTGTTGATGTACAATTATGTTGTCGTGCCCTGTTTGTCATTATTATGGCTCGAGATTATAGTAATACTAATAATCATCATATCAGTTAAATTTCTAGAATATTTAGCGGCATATGAATTTTACCGAACATGTTACGTCACTAAATGCGCTCAAGCTAGAGCCTCCGAATCCCACCATTTATGCAATTAGTAAGGGGTCGTTCACATATTAGTATTACGTAATCATTTTTTGGAATATTTTTAACCTCCCCCCCTCCGTAATCAGTTTTACACATAGCTTTTGTGTAAAAATTACACCAGCGTAACAATTCGGACCACCCCCCTCAGCTGATTACGTAATATGTGAACGACCTCTAACGTCATCGGGTAGGAACATCTATCCAAGTATAACCCTCATAATAATGTGCCAGTGTATTAATGCTTCATTGTTCTGGGTCGTTCCCCGCGCTCACTACCCCCCAAAACAAGGATATAACTGAATTAAGTCCCCCAATGAGGGGACCCAGGACCGCTCTTACCATTTCCGGCTACACTAGTCCCGTACCCTGTATACTGTAGTTCTAGAACAATCCCGTTAATATATGGTTCTGTGTGGTTTATGTACACTCTGAGACGCTAGAGACCTATTGCCACATGTGGCTAATATTTCCCGCCATTTTTCAAAAAGGCTCATTATATTAGTAATTAGACTTTAGAGTGGTTGCATTGTACTGTTACTTGGCTGTTGAGACTTGACTCCTACATGATCAATGATACTTGCTCAATTTTCGTTAAACTTGTGCGTTCTTTCCCCCGCTTGTCGCTTGTCCGTGCTTTTCCTTGCTCTACTCAACTGTCCATTAAATTAGCGTCTTTTAATGACAGATAGCACTTCACACTCCCGAGATTTATTAGCGAACTTCTTAGAATTTATAAAAGCAACATTACTCAATTAGATTTAGTGCTAGTCTTTCTGACTGTGCCCGGTCGTAACCTGTTCCATATCCAACGCATAGTGCTTACACGTATTTTTTATTCCTTGATAATCAAGCTGTTCTTCTCCTTATGCTGATTGGTCTAGTGCCTTCTTGGTCACTTGAATTTCTTTATCCACACTTCTAGTGAATTTCAAAGAAGTATCTCCGAGAAATTAATTAAGATGGCCCTCTCATATCCTGTCTTACTATCACGTGTCCATACAATAGCTGAATTCTGTACAAACCTCCACCAACCTTGCTTGTATTGTCCAATAATGAATTTGAGACGCACTGTAAGTAGAACGCACTAGCAGTAGCACCTAGTCTCTCTCTCGCACCTCCCTCAGTACAACGGCATGTTTCCTGCTTTGACTAATAACACAGCCTATAGTACACTGCAAAGCCTTGTTACTCCTCCGGCGGATTTACTTTTCTGGTTAAATGAGAGGGCTGGGACCATATGTTTCTAAGGGAAATTTTTTCTTATTTCTGAATTTATGTTATTTATAACATAGATTTCATAGATGTTTCGTATTTCATACTGTATGATGTATATTTTGAAGAAATTCCTCATATGTTGTATGCGTAGTCGCTTGATTGTGTAAATCCAGTTTATAAAGTTTGATAATTAAGATGATGCTCGACTAGAACTCCAGAGGGGGACGGTATGTCTACTATCTCCCTGGAGCGTATTGCATATTGTATTTGTTGTGTGACAGTAAATGTCACACTTTTCAGTTACTGGCACTGTTGATTTTAGGGCTGTAAAATCAACAGTACGTAACTGAATATGTTCGCTGTATTTTCTGTAATTTGGACCTGGGCCATGTTTCGTGACTCAGCAAATTGAAATATAAGCACTTCTTTAGTTTTTCTGAGTAATGTTCATTATTTGCTTGGATTCTATCAAATTTAAATACTATTTATTGAATTTATACGTAATTGTCTCATTTGTCGGCTTTTTATAACTAGTTCTTTCATAACTGAGTTGTGCAATGCTGTAGAATGTTCTCCTACAATCATAATTTTCAAATCATAAGTTAATTTATCTGGTAATGAGAATGTTCTACAATAAAAAGGAAATGACTGCAACGTTAAGACATTACCTCTGCAAATATATATAGTAAGCAATATAAATATTAAACCATTATTGTGCAAACTGAAGTATAATATTCTTGGAATCTGGTTAATACTCAATATTGTCATTTATTGCATCAATTCTATAGATCTTATATTAAACTATTTATAGAATTTATACGTTGTAGATTATGTTTAGTTGTAGATTATGATTTAAATGGAAGTAAAACTCATTCTCGACCTTGATCTCATTTTTCTTTGCTGAGCAATTGCAATGCTGTAGATTGTAGAATGTTGAGGCGCCTCTGATTATTCCGATTATTCTTTCAAGTCAAATTTCTTACCACATCTTTACCGATCAGTAAAGTTGATCTTCAATGGAAATTATTGTAACTCTACGGATTTCGGAACTGACGCAAAAGTAAAGTAAATTTGTTTTGACTTTAAATTTACGTCACAGTTTGACGTAACAGCAGTTAAACTGTCGGCTGACGATCAGAACCAAGGCCAATGAAATGAACAGAATGTTTTCAGCTGTCAAACCAAATCTTCGTAAAACTCTAACCTGTCACTCGTTTGATTGAACTCTTAAAAAGTAAGAAATCGCCACAAAACGTAAAACGGTCATATTTCAGTTTGATGTTGTTTATTGTATCATATAAACACGATTCAACTACTGTTTCTTCCACCTTTTCGTTTTTTCGACAAGCTCTAAATGTTCACTGTTTTGACCCCCGGCTATGCGAGGAGATTGTAAATTCTTTAGAACAGATTGAATTCTTTATACGTTCCGTAGAATGTTCTAAGAACTAAAAACGAACCAATATTACCAACATTTTTCTATTCAGAGGTTCTCATGAGACAAATTGCCTCCCACATTCCCACTATATGGTGCTACTTTGTTATTAGTAGCAATGAGTAGATGCCGCAGTATTGGACACGTGACACGTGTAACAGAGTGACTCTCAGACTTATTACACTTTCAGTAAACAGAGTTTGACAACTGCTATCTATACCATTACCCTTAATTGGTATTTAGATTGGGCAGTGGGCACCCTATTTGGGTAATTGGGTGTACTCTCTGTTTACTTTGTGTTGATCTAATTGTCTAATTGGGTGAAGTTTGCGGTCAGTCATATTTCCACCAATCATCATCACACGTTCAACCTTGCCTCTAACTCTTTCAACTTTAAAAGTAAGATCTTGCTCAAACGTTTAGATGTAGAAATATAGTGTAGATTGGTACACACTGAAGTCTGAATGTCTGTAATTCTCAAAACTGGGCGCCTAAATACTAGATGCAATGAAATGTCTACCCTCTCTCCCTTATCAAACGAGTCTACAATTAATCTCAGTACTTAGAGTTCACGTTTACTCTTTAGTTTGCGAGTACAACTATGTGAACTCTAAAGGCTAGCTATTCAATTACCAATCCTGAAATTAGTTTACTCGGAATCTTGCCAACTAATGGATAGAGAGTTGGCTCAAACTTTTAATTGTGACGTCAGAGCTCAATTTTGAGTGCTCGGTTTCTCTGCCGGGTCGATTTTCCGCTTCATAACCTTTGAGAGTGGTATCCACAATGAAGCCTCGACTCTCCAGTGCTGGTCTGTCTACTAGCTGTATTTGGATGTGAGCCAGCTCATTCAACACGAAGTTACAGGACCAGCAGGTGCTTTGCAAACACCACCTCCACACTGCACCAGGCAAATAGTTAATATACACTCCAACTCATTTGCACATTCCATGAACCGTGTGTTGAGGGGCTTGTGTTGTTCTCTATCTTCGTTAGAAGGTTAGAGCACAGCAGGTGACGGTTTGTACAGTCTTTGTCACCATGCCCATATAAGGACTAATTAGCCGTATAATCGCCCTCAGTCTTTATCATCATTATCACGGTTTAAGTGAGGCGTCACCAGGGTTCCTACCTTTGTTATCTGGTACCTAGTACCCGTTCTCAGTAGTTTACACACTGTAACACTCGCTGTTACGTGACTGACTCTACTACAATAACCTTCTATTGTATTGACAGAGTTGTTGTAGGGAATGTTCTTGGAATTCCCACATACCTGTGCCGAGACTTTTCTTTTGTTATCCGTACGAGTTCTAGCTCTACACCGTTCCCAGTATTGATCATATCACTGTTTAGCGTTTATACTTACACTAGGGCTCGTCGCTCGAGCGTTACTGATCTGTTCGTTTCCTGGCATTATCATTAGTCACATACACATACAGTCATTATTATTTATCACATACAGTCTACGTTATACTATATTTCTAAATTTACTATTGACCCGTTTCACAGTTCACATGCATTTGATTAAAATATGATCTTAATTTCGCTGTGAATAAAAGAAGTCATCCCGTTTATTTCGTTTGATATACTGAGTTATAAATAGTTAAAGAAGTCTCGTGCGACAGACTTAAAATGTGTTTGACGTCAAATCGAGAGATAATACAATGACGAGGATACTTTAATTCTAATAGATCTGAGAAGTAGTGCAGATCAGAGACTTTGAACTATATTATATGTTAATATTATATATTTCTTAGAAATAGAATTACTATTACATTAGCTATCTAATCTAATGCAGATCATTCTTAGAATTATAGATATCATTGTTATCCATTTCTAAATAATAAGTTTCTGTCATCTTTGCAGTTTGTTATCCTACTCTTCTTCTGAAATTTAATACGTAAAGAACGAGATTTGTTTTTTTCAGTCACATTGCACAGTTTGTTAGTGGTCTGTATTCTATCAGTTGTCACTGTGCCAGGGAGGTCAGATTAAAATAGATCATTTTAATTGCCGCAGAATCTAGGACTTGGTGCTGGATAATGAATATTTCATTCGGTATTGGCCCCTGA